TATTTATTCAAGTTTATGTCAAAACAGTGTCTTTGATAGAAAAATGGAAAATTATTATTCCAATCAATCAAATTTAATTAGAGTTGCTAACTTGATCAATTTACTGTTTTCCATTCATTGCCAATCTTAACCACTGATTTTAATGCTGATTGTGTCATTAATAATTTAATTGATTGCAAAGTGGCACAAAATGTTTAACATTGAAGTGCGAATGATGATTAAAAGCAAGTTTCATTACAAAATAAAAACTATCAGTGAAGTGATGATGAAAACCTATTTTTGATCATGTAGCGGCACCAATCGTTATCTGGTCAATCATCAATTTCATCAAACTCATCAATAGCAGCTGAAATGGACTCATTTCACCACCGCACCCAATACCATTGCCGTTAACCGGTCAACACTCACCTAACCTATTCAACTGATTAATAGTAATAATGATAATTAATATCAATATTGGCCACTAATAATCAGTTTAAGTCTTTTGGTTAACCCAACCAAAAGCTTTACCCAAAGTAAAAATCATTTTTCTGGTCATTCTCTATTTGTTTTTAAATTTAACTTTGATCAGTTGAATGAAACAGTTGAATATTGCAATAAATTGCTGGTTAATCATAATGGGCTTATAAAGACTTGTAAGCTTGAGGTTAAAGGTTGAGATGCTTTTTTAGACAATAAATGATGATTACATTGATTGTGGATTGTTGAGTAAATTAACATCCATTAAACTAATAGCACTTGAAATAACTATTTTTACCATCGATTTATTGGTTACACTTTTAGTCGGTAAAGAGTTAAACAATGGTAACAATTAGTTAATTGTTAACCTCATTTTTTTGCTCTCACTTTAGCTTTTAATCTAAATTGATTGCAATTTCAGTTTCACTTTAATTTCAACATTAAACTTCAACCAATTTGACCATTTATACAACACGTAAAATTTATTCACAGATTAATCATATTAATTGCTGAAATCAGTGAAGTTTACTCAGGTTGATTGATTAATCTTTAATAACTATTTATAATCTTCTAGCTTTTATTAAACTTTCAATTGAATTCAATTCGTTTTCCGTTCATTCTTTGTGTGTTTTCAGTTATTCAATTTATAAATATTTTGTCTTTTGTCAATCAATGAGCTTGTTTAAAAGCAATTCAATCTTATAATCAATTGACTTTTAAATGAAGCTTAACAAACATTTTCAATGAAAAAGGCTGTAACTTCCTTACTTGTTTATCCTTTAAGCTGTAATCCTTCCTTTTTGATAATCTTCTTGCCATTCTGTCTGAGTTTACTCATATTAGAGTAAATTGCTGATTTTATCGAGATTATCTTGATTCAACTTTTCATCACATTCAAGTTTCATTTAAATTCACTTGTATTTTGTATAAATTAAAACTCTAGTTCCCGTTTATTGTCATTTGAGTGGTTAAGGAGTTGAGATTTACTATCCTTGAAAAATTAAATAATGAGTGTTGAATTAAAATGTGTAGGTTGATTGTTATTAAATTGTTAGATTAAAGGTTTATTTTGTTCACACCAATAATGTATTGTCACTGTCAATCAGTTAAATACATTTATTAATTTTTTAATAACAAATGCATTTCAATTTCAAGGTATTTTGCTATTAAAATGGTAAAGAAAAATTCCGTAAAACCAGTTTAATCCAAAGCAATTACAATTTAATAAATTTTTCAATTTGCCATTTCGGTTCAAAATAAAGATTTGAATTTGTTGCTTCTCTTTATAGTTACATTTAAATACTCCAGAGAGCGCTGCAAGCGCTGGCTTTTAGGTTTGATTTATGTTGTTATTTCAATGAACAAACTGATTGTTATTTAATTGTTTTGCTTTTTTCTCAAATTGAAACCATTAAATATGATTCAGAATGAGTGCAATTTCAATCGTTATGAGTTATTTTATCTCTTGAATCATCTTTTTCACCAAAATTGGATCAAAAGTTGCCTTATGTGAGTGAAGACTTGGATTTTTCCTGGTTAAGTCAATGTATCATCAAATTGATTTACATGATTTGGTTAAATTTACATTCCTTTTCTCATCATTACCGTTGAGGATTTTATGATTTGCATGAATTGACAATTAATTTGCAGAAAATGTACATTTGTCAAATCATTAATTGTCTTGAACTGTAGTTTCCATCACAATTAAACTTCCATTAACCAGAGTTTTAATGGAAACACTTTTTCTTCTTGTTTGTATTCAATCGTGTTCAATCAACCTGCATCTTTAATCAATTGATTATGACAACATAATTAACACTTATTGAGATATTTATGTTTGGTAAAGAAACGGTTCAACACAAACCAAATGAATCTAATCATGAATTTATTAATTTACTCAATTAATTCATTTCAATTAGTTTTTCTGTTGTCTTGCAAATGTTGACTTTAATCATTTTTCAAAGCAACAAACAAAAACAAAAGTATTTTTTGTATTCAACTTGAAATTGCCTCAAGATTAAGCTAAATGTTAAACTGAATAATGAATGATTAAAAGGTAATAATAAATAAATCTAAATCTCATGATTACTATTAAAGTCTCAATTGATTAACCAATTGTATTACAAAAGCAAAGGCTCAATTGAATCTCATTTCATCATGAGAATACAAAGTTGATAGCAAAACGATTCAAAAAATGTATAATAAAGGTGAAAAGCCGAGTCTAAATCAAGTTCAACCCAACAATTTACTGATTGTTTGCCGATCATCATTGCCTATTTAATACCATTTTGTATACACAAAAAGGAGTAAAAAGGTTTCTTTTTTCACTTTAACTAACTAATTAGCTTAAATAACTATCAGGTTTTATTATAACTGATTCACTTGCCATTTAATAGTTGCTCACACACAAACAATTCAAGTTATTTAAAAATCATTTACGGTCAACAATTTAAACTAATTATAATGAATAATGCAACCATTTTTATTGCAAATGAAATTTAAAAGCTTCTTGGATTACATTTCAATACACTTTAATCATCCACATCAACCCAATCATTGACTTGATAATTCTAGTTTCAACTTATCCATTCATTTGACAACAATCAACTCTAATTGCTATCATGATTGTTACCTATTGATCACTGAATCACAATCTCAATGGTTAAATTTATTGCTATCATTATATCAAAATGAAGTGCTATTATTGAACAACCAAATTTAGGTTAAACAACAATCCTAGAAATGAATTATTTTTTCACACTAATTGTTGATTTGTTTAAACAATTGGCAATCAATAATCAATGTCCAATATCTTACAATCATTGCAAGTTGAAATTATCAATGGTTCAGATATGTGAGATTTGGTTCATTGAGAATTGTCTGATTTTTTATTGATCATAATCATCATAAATACCATCAGCGTCATCATTATTCTGATTGTTGTAAACGTTTATTTATTGCCATTTAAGAGGAATGGTCAAAATTGCATAGTCGAAGGAGAGAAGAAACTGACCTGAAAAGAGCAATTTATCGCACACAATGTACGATAAGAATAATGGTCATAACAATATCGTAATGATAATGTTTAGATTGTTGATAATATGAATAAGGTAGGAGGGTTAACGGTTAATATGAGTTTTTTTGCTCTGCTGTTGCCATCAAAAAATTGTTAGGGTTGAAGATGACCCAAACCAGAGTTTAATTTATTAGCCATTTCAGAGTTACAATACCTTTAAGGCACAATTGTTTTGTTTTTTGCTTTTTTTTATCTTCATCATTAGATTGTAATTTAAATTGATTCATAGCTTGAATTAATTGTAATGAATGGCTTCTTACCAGGCATGTTTATTTGTTTTTATTTTTGTCTCTAATTGTAATTGGGTTTGTTGGTAACTTGGTTAAACTTGAATCATTTATTATTGCTATTCAATTGTAACTCAATGTTGAATTATGCTTGAATTATGAATTGCTGAGGTTTGCCTTTAAAATTAAAGATTTCAAGAGTTGCAAATATTAGGATAAAAGATGTTTTCATTTTCAGGCAATTTCGCTGTAACTGTTTTTATGAACGATCTTAGCAAAATTTCATAAAACATGTTCGATGACTGAAGTCTTCTGAACCTTATCTTGCAACTTTTATGAGTTTTGCTGAATAAAGTGACTAATGAGGCACAATACATCAGTTTATTCCAATGTAAATGTCTCTTTTGAAACATAATAAAATTGAACTTCTGGTGTTTTATGAGCAAAGAAATAAAAAATTGTGATTATTAGACTCGAATCAGATCATAAAAGTTACTAAAAGCAATGAAAAGTGAAGAAGCAGAAAAGGAAGGCTTTTTGATGTTACTTTTAATTGAATTGCGATTCTAATCAACTGATCGGGACTTATGAATTTTGATTCAATTTCTCAATGTTAATCTTTGAATTACTCTGCATTATTTCAAAGAAGTTTCTTCAGCAAAACTTCTAACTATTAACTGATTGTTATTTCGTGTCGATAGTTGACTTACCATTTCTGTATCGAGCTCAGAGTCGAGAAATGGGTTTCCAATGAATGACTGTTAAAGTTATCATTTGTGTTTATTTAGTCTGAATAGCTTTTGAAACATTTACTGTGCCTAAACTTGGTACACAATGTAACCTGTTTTAAACGGTCCATACTTAGATATTGTTTGAAATTAATTGCTTAAAAACATGCAGTTTTGATTGATGATTGCAACAATGGGATATAATTGTATCTCAGATTAACAGGTTAACTTGATGTCCAAAAGGTTAATTAGTGCAACAAAATTGCATCAATTGTGGTCTTCAATTGGAATTGATAATTAGCTAAGTTGATGGTTGATAATTAGACAAGGCCTCGTGAATTGCCTTGGGTTAATCAACATGACTTCAACTACACAAATTTTCCCTCAAATTCACAGATGAGATGTTTAAACATTTGGTCCAATCGTTTTAATGATGTGAATTTGGTAGTAATTTGTAATTTTATAAATTTTGCAGATCATCTGCTCGTTCAATGAATGTGAGAGAAAGGATTTCATTTAAACAAAAAAAGTTTATTTCGGCAATTAAAGGACAAATCGTTGATTGAATATAAAGTTGACAGATTGAATTTATCTCTCATTTCACTTCAATTTACATCAAAATCGTCCATCAAACAGAGCTTCAGAAGTAACTGAATGGAATGAATGCACTGGAAGAATGTTCAATTACTCTGAATTGAACTCTGTTAATGAAAACGAGCATCAAAACAAACCCAAACTAATGACAATTAGCTTTTTCAGGTTTGCTCATCATAAAGAATCGACGAAAATGAATGTAAAAATGAAAAACAAATCTCAATTCAAACAAACTTTTCTCACTCAATTTGCCTTGTTAATTGACATAATCATGATTATCATTTGGCTTTAAATATATTAACTGAAAAAAGGTGTTAATTGATTAACTATTGAAACTATTGATTAACCTTTGATTCCACGAAAATGGAATCAAAGGTTAATCAATAGTTTCAGCTGATGAGGTCAATGAAGAGGCTGATGGTGATTGTGATGATGATGATCGTCGGGACAAAAGATACTCAATATCATCAGCAATGTAATACGGATCAACAGAAGCATCGTAACGCTTGTAAACTAAACCAGTTTCGGGTTCGATTAAAAATTTTTCCCAATTCCATTTGACGTCGCGCTCATGGAAGGGTGTATAATATAATGATGACTGTCGAGCAAAATTGATCTTTGTTGATGGGCAAGAGCGCTTTAAAAATGACCACAATGGATGCTCATCGGCACCATTGACGTCAATCTTGATGGTTAAATTAAAGTCAGGGACAAATCCTTTACCAGGACGAACATGTTTGATGCCATTGAGTATTTCCTTTGCACCAGATCCTGGTTCTTGCTGTTGAAGGGAAAAAGCGACAAAATTAAATTATTATCGATGAAATTTCTTCTTGATTGGAATGAAATTGAAAGAGTTTTCAATGTTAAAAATGACTTTTGTTGGTGAACTCATTTAAATGCAACTTCATCTGATTGACAATTGTTACACCATTGCGAAATGGTTATTGTACAAATCATCTGAATGAAGTGACCTTTGACTTTTCACAGTTTACTTGTTTGGCTACCTTAACTATTGGACCGAATTGATTGCCATTGAAAGTTAATTGTCTTGTACAAACCATGATGCTTGATTGTTGTCAATGTTGTTCAAGTGTTTCAATTGAAAAAATTCAACTTTTTGTGGGTCCATTTTTTTAAGGACAAACTGTTTTTGCATTCAATTTTCACATTTTCTTGTCAACAATTGATTTACTAATTCATCTAAATTCATATTTAGTGACAAGTTTTTTGTCATCAACTGATTCCTCTTTCAATCGATTAACAAAAAAAGATGATCGCAATTATGATAAACTGAATCGCTTGAATCAATTGAAAGATGAAATTGATCATATTTTTTGATTTATAAATCAACTAACAGACAAGCAAAGTACAAACTTTTTGCAATCACTTAATGACAATTTGATCTTTCAAATGAAATTAATAATGTAAAGAGCAACTTACCATTCCAAATTGGTTGCAAGGGAAACCAATGATGGCCAAAGAAGAGTGTCCGAAACGTTCGAGAAGTGCATTCATTCCAATGTAATGATGGGTGTAACCTCAGTAGGTTGCCACATTGACCAATAAGATGGCCTTTGACTGATGATCGCCAAGAGAAATGTCATTCTCTTGGTAAATGTCTTTAATTGAATAATCGTAAATACTGTGATCAGGAGGTGGAGGTGAACATCGAGTGTAATTAACCTTTCCAGCGATGTAATCCGTTTCAGATAACCATTGACCAGAGGTAAAGGTGATTAATGTTAGGCAAAGTATCAACCAAGAGTTTAATGTACTTTGCAATTGACTCTTAAAGTCAATTTGAAAAGCCATTTTTGGCTTCAATTGCACCGATGGAAGGAGATGAAATGACCAAAAATATCACATAAAAACAGGGAAACACTTTGCAACGAAAACATTGAACACCAAAGTCGCCAGTGAAATGAATTGCGTCTCAATTTGTCTGTCAATTTAATGGGCAACAAATTGTTGAATTGTGATGACGCCAATGATAGTTAATGGTATTGATGTGTTTCTCAATTGTCGATTAGCTGATAAAATAACTCTTGAAAGTAAATTGTGAGACGAGCAAAATGTTGATCTAACATTAGTTGAAATCCTTGGGAAAATCAGTTGATCAAGGAAACAAACAGAATTGATTTACAGGGGAAAATGATTATGATAAACAAAACTATTAACTGATGAATCCACTTGACAATCAAGACAAATTGTTAATCTTTACCTTTGATTGCAACTTTCGCACTGTTTAATGGTTAATGTTTGTAGTAAAAGTAAAGCAAAAGTAAAAAGTGTTTGTCAAACGTTGATTGAAAATAAGAAGATTGTTGTACAAGAAAAAATTGCTATCGAGTTAATTGTAATCAGTTGTTTCATGATGATGTGTATGTGTTCAATTCAGAGAGTAACAAACCCAAGCAACATTTACTCATTTTTACATGAACCAAATGAACGGATAAAAAACAAAGTTAAACCTACAAAAGTTGCAACTTTTGATTTAAATTGTTTCGCTGAGTGAAAGTGTTGCGAATCAGTTGAACAATCAATTGTAGCAAAAAACACTTGTACACTTGGAATCAATTTATATTTATATTTTCGATCGAAAAATCATTTTTGTTTGGCTTTCATGGAAACACCTTCAAATACCTGTTTAATGTTGAATTCACTTTCCAATTGGATCAACATTTTGATGGGAAATTGTCACTTCTAATTATAAACAATATTGCAATTCCCAGACAATTGATTGGAAAAATGTAAACATTCCATTATTGTATTGCTTTTAATTAAAACTCATTTTAGGTTAATTGAAATTAACTGACAATTCATTGATTATCGACCAAATTTCATAGGTTTTATTAATTGAAAACCTTGAATACCTTGAATTTGGGTTAATTGAGAGCAGCAAAAAATGACCACAAAAATGAAGATTTACTGATTAGTCTTTAATTTAGTGTTACAATTAAAAATGTAGGCTTTACATGTTCATGGTTAGTCAATTGTTGTAATTCGTGATCTTTAATTTGGCCATTTCTTAGCTTTTAAACTTCTGTTAATTGTTGCTCCAATAACGGAATAATTGATAATTAAATTGTTGACTGTTTAACAAAGACATTGATTACCTTGTAACAGTTGATCTTAATTTTTGATTGAAGTCTCGCATTCAACTTGTAATTATAAAATGTGTTTAACAATCAGTTTAATCCTATTATTAAATTGAACTTTTTTTTCTTAATCATAACAATTTTTCATGTTAATCTATCATGTTAATTGTAACAATAAGACAAAGAACAGAATTTTGAAAATGATTTTTTCATTAAATTCAAATTACCTTGACATTTGCAATTGATTTAACTTTCACTTTTCGTATTTTAAAAAAAGCTTTTCAATTAAAAGTTCAATTTTTCATCTTTTCATGATTTGATGAAAATCGGTAAATTGAATTTAATGTAATGAAATTTTTGGAGTTTGTTGGCTACTTTGATTGGTTATCAGTGATGAAGATGAAAAGTATGTCATCCTTTTATTCATCATCTTTTCACCTTTAGGCTGTTTGTTATTAATTTCAAGAAATATTTACTTGTGATAATGTTTATATCATGGTTATCACATTAAAACTGAAATGTTTCAAAAGGCTGAATCAGGCAACAGCAAGAGTCAAAAACAAGAAGCAACAACAATGAAGATGATGATAATAAATTATAATGATTTAGGGTAACACTGATTATAACAATTTAACAAGGCAGGTTAACGAGTAAAAATTGAGTAAACTTGTTCAAAGTGAAACCTTTTTTTTTGTTTACCTTTTTGATTGTTTGTTGACGATTGATGAAAGGTTGATTAACACAATGAATAATTAAGAGGCTCGATGAAGGCTATTATTTTTGAATGAACGGAAGAGGATTGATGATGATAAACATGATCGCCTACTAAATGTTAGCTTAACACGTATCACGTGCAACTGTTATAATCGTCTTTATTGTCCGTGTTGTCCTTCATTATTACTTCCTACCTTGAGTGAAACTTTTACTTCTGATCGTTACCTTTATTGGTTCCTTTCCCTGTAAAAGTACCTTGTCTCTCGCATGCTTAAATCTGCTTAATTCAATCAATTTTATTCATTTCTTCACCTGAATTATTTGAAACCAGTAAAACCCTTCAAGTGGTACATGATTTTTGCGCCAAACGGAAATATCTGAATCTAGGGCAACATTAAACTGTTTGTCGTCTTTCGATTAACATGTTTACCGTATTAGCGGTTTAAGACAAGGTTTACCAAAGTGATGTGACAAAAAATTTCGAGTCCATTTTATGTTGCTCATTGGGTTGTTTTGAATCGTTTAGGCCACAAATTGAAAGGGAAACCAAAAATTGTTTGAACTGAATCTGTTGAGCATTGAGCTTTAACTCAAAGGTTTATCAGTTTGATCGCATTATCATTGTGATAAGAAGTTGGTTTAACCTAAATCAACTGTTGAACCGCTATGGTTTTTGTTGTTGATTTGATTAGTATAACACTCGGCACGATCATTAAATCTTAACCTGATTGATTTAGGTTTGTTAAATATTGTTAACCATTTTATGCCGTTGCGTCTTTTGACTGTCAATGACTGTAATTAGGAAACTCTTTTGGTTTTGGGTTGCTTTTTAGGATTTAATTTTGAGTTTTGTTCAGCTTTTACAATCAACTTCACTTTGACTTTTTGTTGCCAGTTGTTACTAGGGATGTTTATTTGTTTTGCCTCTTGAGATTATCATGAATCTCTCATGAATGATCACCATTATGATGATAATGATGTTGCTAAATATAAGTTGATATTAATTATTTCAAGGGAATAAGTAACAGAGGAAAAAATCTCATAGACTTAACATTGTGGTCAATTTATTCTCACTCATCTCTTGTTTCTCTCTAATCAATTTTCATCATAATCACCATCTTCATTGCCTTTTACTTCTTCTCCTCGTTTTTTCTCATCAATCAAATTAACGATTTACCATTGAATCAATATTAAAAGTCTTAATAGTTGTTACTCGTTTCTTTTCCCTTATTACCTGTTTCTGTTTTGTTTGATTAATAACATTATCTACCAACATTTGTGCGTCCATTGTGAATCCACTGAGAACCAGGGCTTGATAGGGTTACCATGTAATAAGATTTACTTGAATTATCAAATTTACCTTGAAACTTCTCTTCACCATCTCAACCGATACCTGCAGATAGGTACAAGGAAACTGGCTGTGCTTCAAGCTGACCTAAGGATAAAACCATGAGTTTGGGTTGAAAAAGGGTTAACATAATGTTTTCATGTTAAACCGCAAACCAGACAAAATATCAAAAATAATTGGAAACAATTTTACGCTCGTTAAAATTATTCAAATTAAACGCAAGTCAAGTTCAAGATGATTAGTAAAACTTATAACCAGCAGTGATTAAGTAGACAAAATTGGGATTAAGGTTAAAAATAGCAATTTTGTTGCTTTTTGTCAAATTATTTTCATCAGTTTCTCGACATGTTGAATCTTTTGATCAAAATAATCAAAGGATATTAATTTTACCATTTTTATTCCTCATGATGAACCATGAATTTATAAACAAATTAAAGGGCGAAAACAAATGCTCTAATATTACGTTGGAGATTAAAAAAGGCCAACGCAATTTTCATTTACAATAACAAAATATTAAACTCTATTGTTGATTCCAAGGAGTTATCGTTGGCGTTGATTCCAAGGGTGACCTTGATATCATTTCTTCCGTTCCATGGGTTTCAATGAATACCTTTGTTTCTTTACATATGATCAGGGTTTGCCTTTAATTACTTTAAACCAAATTGATCATCAAAGCTAATTTTCAAAATGAATAAAACATTTAAGAAAAATTACAATCCAAAAATTAATTCATCACAATTTGTATCAAGTTTTTCATTTCGTTTGAAAACTTGTTTTTACAATCAATTTCCAAGTTATTGTTGATGTTTGATATCAAAATTGAGATTCAAGTTTCAAAAGATATTAATGTCATTCACAGCAAAGAGAAAATATTCAAACTTTCCATTTCGATTGAAAATTAAGTTTCGATGAAACAAATTCGCACAACAATAAATTTCCCTGAAATGGCCTGATTCTAATTTCCATCACTGAGCTGGAATTTTCATTGAAAGTAAATTTTAACATTGAGACAAAATTGGTTGAAAAGACATCGAAGACTCGAAACTCTGTAATTTGATTTGGGCCTTTGGATCAGCCTTGTACCTTTATAAAATGTGTTGGTTGTTTACGAGGTGAAAATGATGAAACTTGAGTTACAGATGATTTTGAATATGAAAAAAGTTTCAATAGCTCAACAGGTAACGGCAAAAGCCTCTCAGCATTTCAACTCTCTCTCTCTCTCTCTCTCTCTCACTGTAACCGGCTTTGACCAAGCAAGTTACTTCTCTCCTCCCTAATCATCTCACTCACTCTCTCATGATGAGCCATTCTGTTGATCGCCTTCTTTACCCAAATGGATCAACATCAGCAACATGTTTCGCCTCCATCATCCTTAATTGTAAACTTTACCATACAAACTAATCTCACTCAATTCAAATCCAAATTGGGAAATGTATACATTTTTTGCTTTCATTTCTTGTTCTTGTTCAACCTCCAAAGAATCATCAAACAATTTGAATTGATCACATTCTTACCTTTTCTCTCACTCCTCTCACTCTTTTCATCCTTACCTTATGTCAACATCTTCATCCCCTTGAAATGAAAAGTTTCCGCTGATCAATCTTTCGATCTTTTTTTCATTCTTTCCATCCATTCAAATCAATTACAATTATCAGTCCAATTGACGAGTAAAAGGCCAAAAATTGAAAGTGATTTCCATTTTTATAACCTTTCTCTTTGTCGCTCTTTCAAGTGCGACTTTTCCGAAAATCTTTCATTCTATTTTCATGTGATTCCAATCAATACTGTTTGTTCAATATTTATCATAAACTTATCGTGATTAGTAAACCCAAAATTGGATTCATTGGATTAACTGTGTTGTGATTTAGTGACTTGCAACCTTTTTGTGTGTTTTCACACAATCATTTGTTTAACCTTATTAATGAGTTAAATTGTGTTTCATTTTCATGACAGCATCTCAAGGGATATCTTCACCTTCATCATCTTCATCAACAACCTCATCATTGACACCTTATGACAATGACAATGTGAGTAACATTTTCAAATCAACATTCAAGGTAAAAACAAACTTAAACTTTTAACGAACTTTTCTCCAAACGATTCAGGATCTCGTTTTTTTTCGCATTCAATTTACACTTATTAGGTTATATAATACTTTTCCTTATGCTCATTATGCATTGAATACTTGTGTTGACTTTTCGTGCCAACCAACGGCACATTAAGATTTCCAATCCAAGCAATTTGCTTAAAGCTTCAACAAAATGTTCATTTCAAATGTTCCATGTTTACTTTTCTTCCTTTTTCCTTCATCATCCTTCAATCTTTACTTTTGATGGTTCCACATTTTCCTATCCAAACTGTTCAACTCATCAAAATTTTTACCATTTTGTAGACCAACAATCAAAAAGTGATTATTTGTTAATTTTTAGTTAGTCTGTTGCCCTTTTCACGGCCAAATTTGGATTGACAATTTAATTGTGAACCTGAAAAGTAAAGTCAAATGTGTTTGTTTTTTACCCAAAAAAGGCATCCATTTATCAAGCCAAAATAGCAATGACTTTTTCTGGTTCACTGTTTTGTCTTTCAATAATAATGTGAGAAACAATCATGAGAAATTGAAATTTGCAAGATTGATGGTGAAGTCTGAAGAAGATGAAAAGATGAACATATTTTTTTTCATCAACAATTATGAGAAATTGTTTCCAATTGAAATGAATCAAAAAAGATTGTATTGATGGCGAGACAAAAGTGAAGCTAAAAAATTGTATAAATTGATATTATTACGTTATAATTAGAAGCACATTAACATTTGACTATTTGAATGGTGATAATGAAGATTGAAAGTATTCATCTTCAGGTTGATCATCATTTCTTACCTTTTATTCAACCGAGAGCAAAATAATAGGATGATAAGAGGTACAGCCTCATAAAGAATAATCTTACCTTTTTAAAGGTCTATTGAAAGGTAAACAGATTAATCTCTGTGTTGGCCAGTTTTTACCTTATTTTTGTTGTTCGGCCTGAACACCTCAAGCCATTCTGATCGGGTAAAAGCCATTGACCAAGATGATGATGAGAGGAAGAGAAACAAGGAAAGGTAGAAAGGGCCTCTTGATTAGTAGAAGAATTTTTAATAGACTTTTTTGCAACAGAAAAAAATGGTAAATCGAAATATCTTCTCTTTCTTTTCTCACTCTTTGTTTGCATTTTTCATCTTCTCAATTATTTTACCTCATCTTCAGCTCTCTTTCTTTCTCAGCCTTTTTTTCTTCTTCCATGCCAAGTTCCGTTCCGTGATAGAGTGAAGGGTAAATGAAGGATGAGCGTTATGATGGTGATTCTGTTGTTGCAACATTTGCGTTTGGTGAGACATGAAAAAAGTATCATCAATGATGGTGATGAGAGAGTGAAGTTAAGGATGAATGGAAACAGTGAGATGAGGATGAAAAAAATGAAGGTAAAGATTGGTTAGGAATGAAAGGTTGAAAGGTTAAAGTTACTTTGAGGTTGATTTTATATTAGCTTCAACTTGACAGTCTTCTGGTTTCAAGTGTTAAACAATTGCAAGTTTAAATTCATGATTTAATGTTTAAGGTGAAAGTGAAGCTTACAATGATTAAGGTTTAATTTTGAAAAATTATCACAATTGATTCAATGATTAATATTTATAAGGTTACAGTCATTAATTTCATGATCTCACAGTTTTAAGTGAATGTTTAAGAGAAGAGATTGAATCAAATGTTGCTTTTCATTTTTAAACACAATTTTACTGTTGTCTGAGTTTTTGACTTTGGTCAATAACTGATGATGAACTTGATCAATGACTAGGTTAATAATGTAACCAGGGAATGAATTGGGTGAATTAAGGGTTGAAGATGGGAAAAAAAGATATCAGTTGAAGTATTATGAGGATAAGGAAAAAAAAGGTTAAGAATTGAATCAACAAAAATCGATCAACAATGAAATGATGAAGCATGGATGAATGGAAGCTCGATAAACAGGATAAAGTTGAATAGAAAAATTTTTTGATCAGATGATGAAAGGTAAAAAAAGGGACAAATAACGGTTAAATGAAGACAGACAAGACACACAGACAAAAGAGGAAGATAGACAGTGAGGTTGGAAAGAGAGAGAGAGAGAGAGGCTGAAGAAGAGGCTCAATGGGAAGCCGAGGTTGATTAGGATGAACCTGGCGACTGTAAATGTTGTTGCGTTGAAAATGATGAGAGTGAAAAAGGATAAACAACTTTTAAACGCTTTTGTACGGCTGGTAAAGGCTGATGAGGATGCTGTTGTTATTGAGGATGAGGGAGGTTAGAAGATGAGTTTTGATGAGTCAACGAAAAAAACAAAAGCTCACAAAAACGAATGAGAAAATTGAAGCAAAGTAATGAGTAAAAATGTTCACTTTGTTGGTTCAACATTTGCTTTCTGTTTGTGTTTGGATTTTATGCTCTTTTTTTTCGTGTGTTTTCCAATTTACTGTTTAGCTTTCAACTGTAATTTCAATTAAATCAATGTTTATCTAATGATTTTGCACAATTTTCCAATCAACAGATGAACGGCTCAAAGTCAAGTCCGCTTAAACGAGCGGCCTCTTTGCCACCTTCACGTCGCGGTGTCTCACCCAATATACGGATAGCCTCTCAACTTGTCTCTCGTAAGTTGATTGTTTTGTTGTTTTGTTTTCTGGTTAATCACTGAAACTCATTTTGGGTTTTAATGTTTACAGACAGTCCAGGAGCTGCGGATGAAGAGATGTTCATCAAGTCTTTCGAGGATGTTCCAATGGTTCACTTTGGTTCGCTGAAGGAGTTGGACGATGAGTTGAATCGTATAAAGGAATGGTTGGGTGAAAAAAATAGTGATTGGACTAAACGGATTGATGGTTTAAAGAGACTTCGATCAGTTTTAATGTCCACTTCAACGGATTTAAAAGAGTTTCTCGAATGGTTCAAAGGATTAGAGTTGTCCTTTATTCCGTGTGTCAAAGATCTTCGTTCCCAGGTTGTCAGGGAAACTTGTTTTACCATTGGTTACATTTCACAAAAGCTTGGATTAAAGGCAACTCGCTTCTGTGAAATGTTGCTTCCCATTTTAATCTCATTGATACCAAATAGTGCCAAAATAATGTCCTCTTCAGCAACCGTTGCCATAAGGTTTATCATACAATATACTCGATCACCGAGATTGATTCCCGTTATCACTTACAACATGAACTCCAAGTCAAAGGAGATACGGAAAGCTTGCTGTGAATTTTTGGATCAAATATTGCATACTTGGCCCACCTCTGGACTGGATAAACATGGATTGGCTCTTCAGGAAGCCATTAAAAAGGGAATCTCTGATGCTGATCCAGAAGCGAGACAATTTGCTCGAAAAGCATTTTGGGGTTTTGCCGATCATTTCAGAGATGCAGCTGATGCCTTGCTTCATTCACTTGATCCATCCAAGCAACGTATACTTCATGGTGAAGCTGCTTACCAACAGCACACTTTAACATCATCGCCATCTCATTCGGGTGTTTTAAGTAAAAATTCAAGTCGAAGTAATTCTGGTAGCACTGGATCATTGAGTCAACCCGATGGACCTTTTAATGAGAACAACAATTGTAAAGTATCGCCGTTCCTATTCTCATCATCTTTACCATCTTCATCGTCTTTAATTACTCCAGTGATTCGTAAAGTATCAACTGGATCATCGTCAACAACCTCATCAGCCTCTTCATCACCTTTAAATCATACCAAAGTACCTGTAGCCAAAAGTTCAACCCAAAACCAATCAGAGGCTCAATCTCGTTCATCTAACAGGCAACTACAGCCTACTTCTTATTTACCAAGGATAAGATGTAATCTCAATAAGTATTCACTGTCATCTTCACCTTCATCAACCTCCTCTGGTTCATCAGGTAAATAATATTTAATCATTTCCAGGTTTCTAAATTCATCTTGAATTTCTCATCTTCCTTTAAAACATTCATGACTCTTTTTGTTTCATTGATTTTCCTGGATTGACAGGCAGACTAGTAAAACAAGTCCTGGTGATGATGAAAACAGAGACAAATGATGAAAGATGCAAAGAATAAAAGAAATTCAGACTTTTTTTCTACCCTTTTTCATCATATGTTAGGCTTGCTTGGTTTTGTTAACAGTTTTTGTTTTAGACTTGATTCAATTGTAACTTGAAAAAGAGGAAAAAATTGTTAGTTTTATTGGCTTAGTTCCAGATCGAAGACTGTTTAGGATTTTTATTAAAGTCAATCAACTAATCCAGTTTTTTTGCTTTTTATTTAACCTTGAATTTCTCTATTCTTAGGTTCGTATTTAAATTCACCTCTTCGATCGTCCAGTGCCATTGATACAGATGCAGCGAGAAGAGCTCGAACCAGAGCAACGACCATTTCATCAACACTTTCAAGAGTCAATAAAAGTCCACTCAATGGCTCAAATGATGTGAATGGTAATTAACTGTCCAACTATTGAAACTTGATTTTTCTGTTTTTTTTCAACTAAACATTTTCTTCTTTCTCTCGCCTACTAAAGGTCGGAAAAAAGTGCCAACTCCCACCAGTAATGGCACTAAAGATTCTGGACGTTTTTCATCAGATACCAGACATCGTTATTCTGTCCGTTCATCTCAATCTCAGCCTAGTAGTCGATCAGCTTCACCACTTTCTCGTGGTCTGGTCAATGGATCACCCGTTAAATCAAATGAAACACCTGAATCTAGACCCATCCAAATCAGACGGAATTCAGGAATACCAGTGTCAGCCAATAGTCGAGAAAGTAGTCCAAGTAGAAATGGTAAACAGCCCAATGAACTTTCCAGTTCGTACACCAATGGAACCAATGGAAACTCTAATCACCCCAGTAATGGACATTTTACCCGATCACTTTCAAGCGATTCTTACACTTTAAAGGGAAAACTGTTGCAATCAAATAAAGAGGTTGACCTTTCCATGGCCCATACATTGAAAAATTTAAATAATGTACAAAGAAATCGGTTTGCTCATGATGATCAGTCAGATAATGAAAGTGAAACTTCAAGTGTTACCTCAGATTTCTCATTTGCTGCTCGTAATATTGAGGTGAGTTGAAGTCAATTACAATCAACAATATCGATTACAGTGACAACAATAACAGATCATTGTTTCATTTTCATCTTTTTTTCTTCTTCTTTTCTTTCTCCTTATTATCTTCAGGAGGTTTCAGATATCATTTGCAACTTATCTAGTTCTCAATGGATGGATCGGAAGGAAGGTTTACTTGACCTGAATCTATTTCTTCAACTTGGTCCTCGAAGTCTTAACCAGTTTGAATTGAAACGTATAACTGAGATTTTCAATAAAATGCTAATGGATCCGCATATTAAGGTAAATCTGAACCTCTTCACGATACGATTTTGAATAAATAAAAGCGAAGGGATTAAAAGTTATTTCTGATTGTTAACGTGCAAAAAATGCTGATGGATAATATAGATAGTCAGTATAATAAGACTAGATTAGAAGAGATGATATTTTTTTGGCAATTTACCTACTTGATCCTTTGCGTTGATCCTTGCAATCACACAAAACTATAAATCCCTTGAGAAATCTGATTGCATGATGAGATGATTATATTTGAAAACGTTACTTTTATTTGCTCACAAAATGTGATCCTGGAAAAGCAGAACTATTAATCTTTCAATGATCTCAACTATTCAAATGAAGAGATCATCTCAATTTCAATAATACAATATCATGCTGGTCAAGTAAAATGAAAAATAATTTCATTTAGAATCAGTATGATGGTTTAATCAAGATAAATCAATAATTCACTGGCTTAATATCAATTTAAAATGCATTAATTGATGAGATTAATATTTGAAAACAATCCTATCCAATCCATTTTAATGGATCTCTATTATCTGATCCCACTTTTGAGGCAATTTGTTTGTTTTAATGTTTATTTATCTTGCCATCTTTTAATGTATACTAATTAATGATTGTTAATTAATGTTATCATTTTTTTGTCTTTCAGAATCATTCACTACTTTTCAAGGCTCTGAATAACCTGATTACAAGTCACAAGAACCATCTTTATGACTGGTTATACCTTCTGATGACCAGACTGTTTATGAAAATTGGATCCGTTGGTTTGGCGTCCTTAACCGCCAAAGTAAACAAGACTCTGGATACAATTTTTGTTTCTTTTCCTGTTGACAATCAATTTAGCTGTTTAGCTCGCTTCTTATCGGATCAATCACAAACGTTAAATGAAAAATCTAAACTTCGTGTGATCAGTTATATTAACCGATTGATTAGTAAGATGGTCCCTGTAGATTGTTACTCACCAGACAAACATGATCTTCAGTTGAGTCTGATGAAAATTATTTCTTGGACAAATGATCCTAAATCAAGTGAACTCCGCCGGCAGTCAAAAGAAGCCCTGATTAACTTGTTTACCCTTAATCGCCAGCGGATTTACACCATTGTCTATCAACTGCCCAAAAGTTATCAAGATACTGCTTTTACTTTAATCCATTCAAGAAAACGTCCGTCTGATGATAAATCATGTTTTACCTCATCTGCGGTTCTTGCGCCAAGTGCCTCCCTTCTTCAGGATTCTTCCATGTTTATGTCATTAAACATTCGTAATGGATCAACCTTTGAGTCAACCTTTGATGAAACGGAAAACCTTAATCCAGATGAAATTTATCATTCACTTTTACGTACCACCGATGAGATTCAAAAATACAAGTTTAACGGTGGTGTTGATGATGATTTAGATGAACGGTTAACATCAAGTCTAATCTATAACCGTAACTCATCTTTTGCTTCAGCACCTTCCTCATCACCCTCATCGCCATCATCCTCTACCAGCAAGACTCCATCATCATCATCGTCATCTACATCAAATAAATCAACTAATAATGTTGTTTCCTCTTCAAACCTTATCAATGGTTCCCAATCTAAGTCATTATCATCTAAAACATCCAGATCAAATGGTAAAAAGAGTGAGATTTTACATGATAAGCGTAATAGCAACAATAATAACTATATTAATGGCTATCATCGTCAAACAACTAACGGAATTGAAGGCAAAATTGTAAAAAACCACCATTTGATCACACCTTTAACAGTAGACACTAAACCCAACAATTCAACAATTTTATTGCGATCAGATGAATCCACAATTAATCGTGCTAACCAATCTAACTTGTCAGCCAATAATGACCATTTTCACCATCACCATTACCATCATAATCATCATCCTAATAGTAATGGTCATTCAAGTCCAACCAAGAATGGTCATGAAACAGTTACTAATAATTTGATCAGTAGTCTCAAAAATGGACACAGTAAGGATAATGATTATCAAAAGTATGCGCTTAATGAGCTTATCGAGTTGATTAAAGATTCTAAATTAGATCTATCGCGCCATTTTCGTGATATGTTAAAAATATTACTGGACAAGATGGCGGACGAAGGAAACCCAACAGTTCGCCAGTTGGCGTTGCGAATTCTTCGTGAGCTTCTTCTTAAACAACCTTCTCTCTTCTCTGATTACACTGAGCTCACGGTGCTCAGAGTTTTAAATGCTTCAAAAGATACAGATAAAGAGGTTCAACGAATCTCTGATTTAGTTTCAGCTACTGCTGCTTCAGTTCTTCCTGCTGATTCGTGTCTCAAAATCCTTAAATCAGCCATGAACTCAGGTGATGGAGCAACGAGCCAAGCAGCTATTAAAATGTTATCTAAGGTTGGTAATAAAATCTCTAATTTACTTCTTTTCCTTCCTACTGAATTACTTTTGTCACTAACCATTTTATGTCATAAAAGTTCTTATGTTGTTATTTTCTCAAAATGAACTTCACCCATAAATATGTCTTAATAATTGACTCTTTTCTCTTTTTTTCATACTCATAGTTCATTGAAAGGCAAGATGAAGATCAGATTGAAGCTCTGCTTCCAGATATAATGCCGTCTCTGATTCAGGTTGGTAAAAAACGATTTTCAAAAGTTATCACTTCATTAGGAAAACAGATATTTTTTCAATATTAAACGTAGGCAGTTGTTTTGATGGTGATTGGCGCTATTGATAAATTTTTATTCAATTTATAATCAAATTGATCAGTTATCAATGACAGATCTAACATTTTTTTCTACTCAAATGGCTAATTTCATTCCGTTACTAATTCATTTCTTTTCATTTTTTTCCTTCAGGCCTGTGATAATAGAGAAAGTTCAATACGTAAATCAGCTATATTCACCTTGGTTGCCATTTACAATCGCATTGGTGATCGTTTAAACCCACACATTGCAAATCTTAATGGAAGCAAATTGAAACTGTTGAAACTTTACATTGAAAGAGCCCAAGCCAGTGGAACAAATGGATCAGAATATTCATTTTCATAATTTATTTTTTGCTCCATCCTATTAAATTAAACCAAAGGAAAACGGAATCCAAACTGGATCAAAGGGAAAGGCTATTTTAATGTGAAATCAACGTGAAAAGCAAACCATTTTTACATCAACTTTAACTTTTTGCTCAAACAGTCTCCGCCAACGCTAAGCAAGACCAAACGGAAACAAAATGAACTGTGTGCCACAGTAAAAGCAATTGTGTTTCAATCACTTCACAAATCATTTAGATCGGCAATCATGTTGGACGTAGCAAAATTATCCTCAAAGATACTAACTCCAATAACAAAGACTTAAATATAATAGAATGGCAATTTTTTAGGATTAGAAACTTTCATGGCCCTTTAATTTAAATATCTTATGGTGTCAAAATGTTTTTAAATCAATAACCTGCTTACCTTGATCCCAAATCAAATGAAATTGTTTTTAAAATAACCTTTAATTGTGATTATTGTCCAACTTTCTTAACATTAACTGATTCTACTTTTTTCTTACCCTTTATCTCTAATGTGCCACGACCTTATTGAGTGCCATTACGCATATATTTGATGGCAATACGCAGTTATGAAAGAAGCATTTATCAACACAAATCATTGAACTAATTAAGCTACAAATTACTGCAAAGGAAATTCAACTTGGAAACTAATCGTGATCATTTTTACTACAAGATTATCTCATTGATTCAACATTATATCACTACATTACAATATCTATTTACACACTCATTTATATACAATATACATATATATATATTTGATTTGATATTATGTAAATTAGAGGTTAATTGAACAAAAATTTTCCTCAAATCCTATCAATACGTAAAGGATTGAAGGTTGTGCTTGTTTCTTGTGTTTATTTCATCCTTTATCAATCAAATGTAATGAAAAATCATGAAAACAATGTGAAAGATTGTAAATGTTTCTCAGTGAGATTCTAGGCAAGTGAGATTTTTTAAACTGTTTTAATTTCATTACACGTTTTTTAATCTTATTCAATATAATCAAACTGATCAGATTTATAAATTATTTTCCCTCGCAGTGCTTAGCCCGATTGAATCATTATTAGATCTTTCACCTTGCTTTCTGATTATGTCACATCAACAGTTCTCTTTTAACAGCTATTACTGTTCTAATTTACTAATATTGACTTTTTTCAAACACTGTAAACACCATCAATACGATGGAAACGATTTTTGTTTTGTTTCCTTATAATTAGCTGATCAACACTAATTATATTAATGATGCGATTGCTTTTTGTTTTCAGGTATGCTTTCATCAAATGAGTATTTTATCCTGAATCCTTCGTTCTTTCAATTGATTTATCTGCAATGCAATATAATCAAAAAAAAACCTTTATATAAACAACCTGATTTGTTCACTTGTTCACAGCAAATATAATATTATTAACTTTGCATTTTAACTACAATTAAAGAAACGATAACTTTTTTCAAACCGAATCACAATTTCTCACAATTTGTCCGTAAAATCAATTCTCAACTTTAGTAATGATTCGCCTCCATAGATGGCGTATTCATACGCTATTCACAATCTAAATTTTAGACCGATTTTTGAATAATGGCTCTGTTATTGTTTAATCTAATTGTTTAAAATCGACTGGTTTTCGTTTTATTTGTGATAAGTTAACTTTGATATTATGTTTATTGATTTATTTCATCAGATAGTTTGATATTTTATTGGTTTCACGTTCAGTCACTTGCAAGAAGCACTGAGATCGGAAATCCTTTTAACAGAGTATTTTACAAAGTGTGTTGATATGTTGATGCATTTGCATCCTCTGAAGCTTGGGAGTTATCAACTGATTATCCTGAAAATTTCTCTGAACAAATTGAATTAATTTTCTTAAACTAGAAAGCATGGAATTCGCGGCAAAAATTGAAATTTGAAGAAACTTAAAATCGAACCAGGAAAAAACGGTTAAATAGCGATAACGAGTATAAATAGCTCTTGCACTCCAACCAAATGGAAAATTATTCGACCCATTTGATTGAATCAACTTCAACTCTTTAAATTTGCAACTTGTTTCTTTTTCAAAATAACTTTCTACCTAAATTACAATTTTCATCTTTAAATACACAAATATAAAATATCTCCAGGAATTTTACTCCAAATATTGTAATTTATTGTTTATCTTTTGACTACTACTTAATGTCATATAAAGATTTCAATTTGCCTATGATTTTGTACACTATCGTTGACACCTAGTCACTATACATTTGAATGTATCTGTTTGGATTTGCTTTTATCGAGTATTTTAAATACTCGTTCTTCAATCCAGTCACAAGTTGCCAAAATAAGCTAAAGTTAAGATTTGAGCCTCCATTTTAACAGAATTGGCGTTTTTATCGACTCTGTATATAAAACTACTGTTCATATCCATCAGGAACCTATTATGGCCAAGTTCAAATATAAGCCAAAAGATAAGTGGACAAGCAATGAGCTAATGTGGATAACAAAGAAGGGCAATTCATGTGTTCATTTCGATTTTTATTTTATCTCTTGTCACCAAATAACTATAGCTTTATTTTATTTTATTAATTTTTAGGTTATAACTACCAATCTATAGGATTGATCATCATGCTGGTTTTATGAGGTAACTGCCTTGTAATTTAATTATGACTTCTGTTGGTGTTATTTTAGTTTTTTGATGTAATAGGACCAGAAAATTTATTCCTTGTTGATGCAAGTGATTCAATCAATATTACTGGAAAGTATGGCTCAAAAAGTATCCATCAGTTCACCTTCCGTGTTTTTTGAATATAATCACGTTTTAATCTCTCTCTTTCTCTCTATCTCTCTTTCTGGCATGAATATAGTGAAGAGCTGAACATAAAGACCCTTTGATGAATATAATCACCATCATCGTCATAAAAAAATGGCTTGCAATCCTCCAAGATTTGTTGGAAGGAAGATGAGAAAATGGAAAAGAAGTTAAAGCGAAAGCTCAAAAGGCAAAAGATGGATCAAAAGATGCAGTTTCATCAGTTTCTTGTTGATGGTTGCGAGCAGCGAATGACTTTGAAGGGAAAATATGTTTTCATCTGTTTGCCTGTTTTAAATGTGTGTATACATGTTATTTGAAAATGTGTTAAAATGTACAAGTTAAGCAGCTAACTTGATGCCACTGCAGTTGAAATACGAGAGCTTAAAAACTATTGAGCCGTTTCCCATCAAAAATCCCAACAAGTAAATGAAGACATCTTAATTTAGCTTTAATCTTTAACTAACAAATTGAAGCACCAAGACATTGGAAGGAAAGCAAAGGAAAGGTTCCATATTTGTAGTAATATGTATACACATTTATCTGGATAATTATACATTATATTACCAAAGAAAAGCTGAATCTTACCAAAGGGATGAAAACAAAATCATTTTCAATCATTACCAGCTAATATTACGGGAACCTGAGATACATTTAATGATCACCAACATAAAGGAAATCCTCATTTATCATTATCTATTATCAGTATCCGTTGAAATTGATTTTTGATTACATGAAAGCAGACTGATTGGCAGTCAATTGGTACACTTTATACACTAATCTTTGCCTCCATGGGAAAAAGTAAAGGCTTACAGAAATTTGATGATCAATTCAACTCATCTTCACATGTATTTTTGTAGCTGTTTGCTGTTCATTGCTGTTGAGCCTCTACTTAATACGCTTTTTTACCCTCTCAGTCCAACTAATTATTAGCCAAATGGTTAAAACAATTACAATATTGAAGAGGAAATGATAGTAATGATATCTGACTTACAAAAGCCTAACAAGTGTTAATCAAAGATCCTTGGCCACCCAGTTGATTAACTGATCATAAACATCATCAACATCTTATCCCTCTTGGTAATGGTTATATTGCCTGTGAAACTCAATACCAGATTAGACATAAATTCAATGTTGAACGTTTAAACATTGAAACTCTTGCCTGTGTTAAATTTAACAGCCAAATACCTTGATTCAATATCATGGGATGTTGAGGTAATTTTCATTTTTACCCATTTGACCACAATTACATTACCACAATCAACTGAAACCCTGGTCAAACCATTAGCTAAGCCTTGCTCAATTGTTGATTCCTTTAATGGTTACAATGTTAAAGACCAAAGGATAATTAAAGGTTCAATTAGTTTCCATTGTTTACCTTGAAGGTAAGCTGTTGGATTTTTGGTTAATTAAAAAGCACAAAAAGATATCCATTTCTCATGAAAATTAATTGACCAGATTGAAACCATTTTTCAACATTGATTCAACACACATTTATAGACACTTTTCCTGCTCTACTCACATTAACATAAACACAATGTAATTTCAATAAGCTAATGAAGCTTACCAATGAATTTGCTGGAAAGATTATTTATAATCATTGTTATTCAATTGAAAGTACCTTTTTGGATCATAATTAACAATTAATAAGCTGAAATGAGCTTTGAAACAAAATGAAATCTGATGAGCCAGGATTATGCAAATGGCCAAAAAAGGAGTAAATTTAATGAAAAATATGTGTAACCAAGAAAAAGGTTGAAAAACAAAAAAGGAAACTGAAAATGGCAGTTTAAACAGAGAGTTAACAGTATTGATGAAAATGGCGATTTCAATCACAAAAACATCATCATTCACCTTCTGCTGTATCATCTTCCATCATCCTGGTTCATCCATTCACCGTCTTCCTTCCTCTGTTTGAATAGACAAAAAAGCCCTGAAGATATTTTGATAACCGATTCAGAATATTGGACAATATTTCAACCTTTCATCTTCCCATCATCACAACTCACAAAATCATCATCAACCTCCTCTTCATCTTTCTCATGGCTTTACCGATGTCTCCACAAACTGGTGAAAATACAAAACTGTTATCCACAAAAGAAGGAGAAAAAAAAGATTTACAATTGAACACTTGGAATATTGATATCATCTTTGAAAAAGCAGCTTCTCTTCATTTTTCATCTTCTTTCTCACATCTTTTATCATCTTGCTCCTTTTCGCATACATTGAGGATAACTTATCCTCCTTTGGAGGATCTTTTCGCATCTCTTTTTATTCCTCTTCCTCTTCATTCACCATTCATTACTGATTCCCCAGTTTTATCATCATTGTCATCCTATCTCTCTCTCTCTTTTTTTCTGTATAGGTTTGACCATGCTGATGATGAGGAAGGATTATCATTAGATGGTGAAAAGAGTGTCTTGAGGCTTATTGATGTTAATCTAATTTCATTTAGAGCTGAGGATTGGTTGGACTTTACTTTAACTTGAGCCCAAGAACCAATCCAAATGAGTCAAGTGGCCTCAACAATTTGAATCAAATTAAACGAACCACGTTAACAATCCCAGCTTTCAAGTGACTATCAATGAACCTCTTATCATCACCAGCTTTTCAACCAAGAAGTGTAATAATGCAAAGGGTTTATGAGATTGGCTTGAACCAGAAACCAAATGAAAACAAAACCTTTTCAAGTTATTCAAATACTCAAATCAACCTGTGAGAATAATTGATGAAAATTTTGCGTAATAAATGATTTACAAATCAAATAAATCGTTCATTTTATTCAACATTTTTCAATCTTCTATCAAATCTACTTTTCCAACCATTCATCGACCAAACATTGAAATAACTCGATAGTTTGCACTTGGAAAAGGGTCAGATTTGATGAGCAAGAGAAGCCAATCATGCTTTTCAAATTCAGTGGAAATGTTTGCTGATTTAGAAGTTTGGATTTGGGATAATTGTGATTAACTTGCGAATAGCTGTTGACATTCAACATTGAGTGATGAACAGCCATTGGATTAGCTGTTTTTCAACCAAAAATCACTCAAAAAGATTAACGTCAAATTAATCATTGCACTTGAAATAACCGTAAAATCAATGTACAGATACAATATTTTCATTGAGTTACATTTTTTCAATCAAACAGGTAAACAAAGGTCCAAATTGATTCCAATTGAAATGACGTAAATACACAATTAAAATGAACCTAAATTGTTTCAAAAAAAGTGTCACAAAACATGAGTTTGTCCGGCAAGGGAAATCTGTTGATTTTTTAGTCAAAATTACATCAAAATGAGACTCAAATATGAGCTTCAAGCCATCAAAGAATCTGAAAAATCATAAATCATTTTAATTGTGAAGAGAAATTGAATTTCTGTGATTTCTGTTCGTTTAAATTGCTAACATTATTGTAAGACTTGAGTAGATTTGAATGTTGCTTTATTTGCTTTTCTTTGTAATTTTCATCATTGAGTCAATTTTAATGATGGTTATGATTAATAATAAATTATGTTAAAGTAGATGAGAATTGAGTTTAAATTGTAAACTGAGATGATAATTAATTATCTAAATGAAAGTATTCAAAATATGGGAAACATTTTTGCCTTTTTGCGCAGTTGAAGCTTTCAAGTCTTCTTGGCCTTTCAAAGTTGTCAAAATGGGGAAACATCAATGATTGCTGTCAACACTTGCAGTTAATTTAACATTTAATTGTTGTTAAACTTTTCATTGAGCTGTCAACCCAAGTTTACCCTTAAAATTAACCGAATTAACGGAAAGCTGGAAAACTCATGTAAAGATGATGAGAAACGGTGAAATGTTATAAGTTAACATGTTAACTGATATATGAGATGAAGGTTAAGCTGATGGTAAAATATTGTTCAATGTGAATCATTTAAGATTAAGGAATGATTAAGATTTACCAATCAATGATCACTAATCATTGTGTGGTCTGAACATTGACAATAACTCAGAGCATTTTCAATTCTAGAGATTCAGTTGATAATGAATTTGGTGTTAAATTGAATAAAACAGTTTCACTTGTTGACCAAATTACGGACTTTAAAGTTGGAATTGAAATCTTAATCATTTTCAAAGATTTAGTTTTGATTTTGATTCAATTGTTGGTTGGAAAGTGATTTTTCTTGATTTTTGAAAATTTTCGAGAAACAAAAGTTGATTTTTTTCCCTTTTGAAGCTTTTTTGGTTTGCTTTTTTAGCTTTGATACAAATTGTCATCTAAATTAATCAGATTAAACCTGAAAATTGCACATGAAATTTAATTCAGTTGATTAAATGATTGGAAAAAACGTGATTAACTTTTCCCTGTAAATGGTTGCTTAATATTGAATGCTTCAAAGTAAGTTGTTAAGCCCTTTCAATTTAACTTTAATTCTGGTTGACAGTTGAATCTTGATTTAACCTTCACATTTAATTTTGTCCAATATTCAATAAATTGTTCATCATTAATGTGATGGTGAACAAAATTAGACTCACAATTACTGTTAACAGTTACAATGAAACAATCTTGTTTAACCATTGATTTTGGTAAGCAAATAAAGAGTTGCTTTAATTATTAATGATGACTGTTTAACTAAGGAAACGGAATTGTTAATACATTATTTGAATAGTTGCACTAATTTGATTGCGCTTTCAACATTTTACCTTTACAGGCTCATCAATTTGGTTTAATTCATTGCGTTGTTAGGATGGGAATGATTACCTTTTTTTGGGTTAAAGGTGACCTTGTTTATCTAATTTTTCATCTGATTTGTTTATGAGATTAATTGTCAGTTGATTTGATTATCACGAGAAGGAATTAAGTATTGATTCTGTCATGGTAGGAATGAAATGAAAAAGAGGTTATAGTTGATGAAAGTATATTATAATTTGTGATTATTCATATGCGTATAGACCTAAATTTTTTGTTGAGTCAGATGAAGAGAAATGTGATAGAAGTTCAGAAAGAATCAGGAAGTTTCTTCGCTGAAGATTGTTTATAATCTGAGTCTTTTTTTATATTCAAATACTTTTTTTATTTTCTTTTTTTTCTCTTGGTGCGTTTTCTGCATCTTTTTATGTCTGTCATTGAAACATTTATTGGTGACTGATGTAATTACAACAGAACAAAGTTTATATTATTTATATACATCAGTTGTGAATTAAAAACATTTGAGATTCTTAAAATTTGACAGAGATCAGGAGTTTATTGGTGTTTATTTGTCTCGCTTTGTGTGTGTTTGTTTTTTTGGTGAAACTTGACCTGAATTTTTGCGTCTATGTTTGAAGGATGATGATGACTAGTAACCACTGCAAGTATAATAGGAGTTGGTTGATGAGTAGTTAGAGTTGAAAGGATAATTTAAAGTAGTTTGAGCACAATTGGGTGAGCCTGGGTTTGATAGTGATGGTGATAATGATGATGATGCTATTTGCATCCGTTGGTTGCACGAATCTTCAATGAAGTAAGCATGAGGTTGATGGTGAACTGTTGAATGATGGGAAGGGTGGGGAGCAGCAGTTGGAGGTGGTGGTGGTGGAGGTTGAAATGGGTTATGGTGAGGACGAGAGTGGTGGTGATGGTGATGGGATGAATTTTCGGTTGAATCGTCTGAATAGATTTCACGAAAATTTGGCCAATTACAAGGTGCTGTTGAGACTAGAGATGATGAGCTTATCTGGTGAGATGAGTGAGCATAATGGTGAACATCAGGATGTTGTAAAATTTCAGAGGAACCATCTGGATACCAAGGAACCGTTGTAAGGCAACGATCATAGGTTGGTAGTCCATGATGGTTGAGATGACTTAAATGGTGATTACTAGGAGACGAGGTTGGGTCAATCATCACAGATAATGGTTGATTTGAAGGGTATATTGATGAAATTGTAGATGTTGTTGTTGTTATTGAAGATGAAGATGCCGATGATGATGATGGAGATGAACCAGATGTAGGTGTTGATGATGAAACAGAGGATGAAGATGGTGATGTTGAGGATAATGAAGTTGATAGGGAAACAGTAGATGATGGTATTGATGTTGTTAAAGTAGATATCTGATCAGGATAAGAGGATGAAGATGTTGAATTTCCCAATGACGTTATCGATCTAGATGAAGGTTCTGAGCTTGAAGTAATGCCAGGAGGAAGATGGTAAGGATGATTAGGATTGTCGGCACTTGTAGGTGAAATTATTGGTGTCATGGCTAATAGAGAGGAAGATGAGACTAAACGGGAAGCCATTAAACTATCAACGGTAAAATTTGAAGATGGATCATTTGCACTTGCATTAACTTCATTTTCACCGTTTCCCGAGGAAGATGACGATGAAGCTGAGGATGATGCTGAAGAAGAGGAAGAGGAACCATTAACTGTGAGACTCATTGGAGTTACCTCCTGATTAGGGGTTGAATCATTGTATAAAGGATTTAATGAATATGAATTTGCACAAATTAAATCGTTAATCATGCTCGATGGTGATCGATGATGAAGTGACATGGAACCTGGTTCTAATTTGATCAAATGATGGTCAATTGTCTCCAATTCATTATTGACACCAAATTCTCGATGATACTCTTTCTTAAACGGATAATTGTTGCTGTTTATGATTGCACCATTAAGCTCAGATGATGGTTTGCTTGTTGAATTGTACAATTCATCATCATTCCCTTGTTCACCAGGATAGAGTCCATATCGGTTGAAATTTTTCATTGCGTTTGATCTTTTGTAAGGAGATTTTCCTTTCTTGTTAGCCATTCTGTCTCTTGACATAGTTATGGGTGACAAAGATGAACCTTCATCGTCATCTTCATCTATACCCTCCATTGTAGACGATTTAGAGCCGCATTTATTAGATTGACGTCGATTCTCTTGTTTATTGGCTGACTGTTTGCGCGATTGTTTGTACTCGATAAGGTTAGACCGTCCATCAACTATCTCTTTACCCTTCTTGAAGCGCCTCCGTCGTCGCAGCAAGCTACCATTATCAAACATTCCAGTGGAATCCGGATGAAGTTTCCAATACGCTCCTTTGCCTGGTTTCTTTTCATCTCGAGGTTCTTTTACAAAACATTCGTTTAATGACAAATTGTGACGAATTGAGTTCTGCCAGCCTTGTTTATTTTTACGATAATAGGCGAACCTATCAGTGATAAATTTGTATATTCCACTGAGAGTTATTTTCTTTTCAGAAACAGATTCAATAGCCAGCGCAATTAAAGCGATGTATGAATAAGGAGGTTTGGTTTCTTCATTATTATTACTCAAATTGGTGCCATTGTTAGAGAGGGATAAGTCATTAGATTTTTGATCGGATTTAACAGAATCGGGATGAGTGGCTGAAAGTGTTGCTTGACCTGGTGTTGTTGATGACACTGAGTTGGGGGTTGGCATGGAAGATGAAGATGATAACAATGAAGATGGAGATGATGAAGGGGAAGATGTAGAATGCTGACTTGATGATGATGATGTTAAAGGTCCGATTGGATTAGGAGATTGTTGGTTATATAATGCATTATAAGATGGTGAGGAAGATTGAGATCCTGGACCAGAGATTACATGATTATTCAGAGGATTATCAAATAGAGAGGGCGAATAATTGGTTGAGTAATTGAAATAACGACCATTTGGTTGATTCAGGGAACTAAGTAGTGCAGACGAAGGATCATGAACTTTACTGGAAAAGGATGGTGAAGATGAGGAACAAGATGAAGAAGATGAAGATATTGATGAATTTGTTGTTGAGACCGTTGTTATTGGAGTCGTGGGCAGTGAAGATGTTGAGTTTCTCGAAAGGTTAGATTGCGAATTCAGTGGGTAACCCAATGTTGGATGAAGCTGGTGGTGCGTTTGAATTAAAGATGATGGCACTGATGAAAGGGAAGAAGCAGAAGAAAGATTTGTAAACATAATTAATAAAACACGAAAAATGAACACAAAGACACGAAAAGGTTAAACGACAATGAAGATTATTCACGAAAACAATCGTTCCAAGTTATATTAACAACAGATATCAACATTATGTAACTTTAAATCAATCCATTCAATCAGATTGAGTGTTGTGATTGATAAATGTTGTCCATTTAGATGAAATTAAGGATGATGTGATCAAAGAGATGAAAGAAGATGCTGAGATATGGTAAAAACTTGATATTCAGTTCTTAATTGCTCAGGTTTTTCAGTGAAAACAGCAAACAATTTGAGACAACAAACTTCTTTTCCCTCTGTAAACACAAGCAAAGTTATTTCTTTTTTAATAAAATATATATTTTCCTCGATTGTTTCTATTATTTAGCTAAATAGTATATTAACTATACTTTCTCGGATTGCTTAAGATACTATGAGAGGCCAAAACTGTCGACAGAGAATAGGCGGTTACGAGTAAACTCAGGTCTACACCTTATTTTGATAACCTATAAGAACTGCTGAGTCGTCGTTGTTGGTGGTAAAAAGCACGCCCATAATAAAAATACGAACAAACATATTTAACAGAGGAAGAGGAGAAGATGATGAAATGGGGAGAGAAAAGGATGAAAAGAATGGAGAGAAAGTAAAGAGAGATTGAGAAAGAAACGTGTTTGAAAGGAAGATTGATAAATATTGAAGTGAAAAGGCAAGGGAATGATAATGATGAGGATGATGAAAGGGAAAGTGGTTTGATGATGAGGAGACAAAGATAGTAAAAGATGATCATCTGAAGGAAGATTTTGCTTTTTTTTCCTCAATTTCTGCCAGTGTAAATGGAAAGCTTTGAAGAAGGATGATGATGGTGAAGGAGGAAAAAGATGCTTAAAGGAGAAGAAGAAGCAAAAAGGATGAGAATAGACTGAGAATGGTAAAGAGAAAGAGTAAATCTTAAAAAGAAAGAGGATGAAGGTGATGATGATGAAGATGTTGGAAGTTGAAATGAAGCTGATGATCAAAGAGGGAAAGAAAAAAGTACAAGTCAAAAGGGAAATGGTGTAAAGAGAAGAGCGATTAGAAAATTCTGGTGAATGATGATAATGCTGATGAACATCATCATTCTCATCTTGTTTGTAAGTCAATCAGATGTTGATGTTTCTATAGGTGAAGACAACATCCTATAAAACTGTAAACAAAATGTTTTTTTCACAAAATTTTCACCAAAATATTCACTGGGTTGAACACTGAGCAAATTGTAAACCATTTCTCGAAAGATTAACCATTTAACTGGCTTTAATTGCGATTGAACAATGATCACAACAACGGGAAAAGGCGAAAAGAGGAAAACAAAAAAACACTTACCATTGTAAGATTAAGAGATGATCCTTAAAGGTGTTGAAAGACGCAACTAACCCCATTTACAATGTTAAACATTGTTATTTGGTTGGCTTTAAATTTCAAGATAAATCAAATTTCAACATTTGATCTCACATTGTTTGTCTTTTAAATAATTGCGGCATTGGTTAATTAATTTAACCAGTAAAATATATTTACTTAAGCTTAAAAGCTCAACATGATAGGGGAAAAAATATCCGCATTTGATATGTAATTGAATCCGTTCTGGATTCAAAGTCTAGTAAATATGGCGACTTGAGTCCAATTTGTTGCTTACTTTTAATAGCAGATCATTAAGGCGCCAATTTCCAATTCAGATACGATGCAGTGATTAACCAATTTTTTTCTGGTTTTCAATTTGGTTTCTCGTTCGTCTCGTTTTTTTTCAACCGACTTGAACCAGAAAAATTTAATCTTATTACATCGTATTATTATGCTAACTAACAGGGTTTATTTAGCTCAAAGGAAATTGAGACTTGTTAGTTATAATAACAGTGAGAGGTTGATTGAAATCTACATTGTTAACTTTGAATTGTTGAAACTGTTAATGTTATTTTTGTGTATATTTCATATCAATAACCAATAATATAGATGATTAAAGAGTGAATAATAATCATAATTGTCATTATCTTGCTATTATTATTACAATTGAATAGACCTTGTGATTTTATTTAACATTTTCATCTTTTGCGCTTTTCGCAGCAAACAAATTGGTTTACAGCTAAACAAAAATGGCTTCAACCTTTCCCTTTTTTTTTTACCAAAGGATAAGAGTCTGGAGCTTTCTATTAGTAAAACTGTTAATCTTTTGGCCAGCTTGAGGTTTCCCGATTGCTGTCAATGATTTAGATTACAATTTAAAGTAAAAGCTTATATGACCTTTGACATGATCAAGTGATCTTGAAACTGTTTCACATTATTTTCCTTTCAACAGTTAATTCTTTGAACCTTTTCACAATCAAATTTCCCTCTTTACTCTTTTCCTTTTCCCTCCATGTTTGTTTACTTTTTTTATGCATAAAATTATGTTGGTAACAAAAGGAGGCTTAACTGTGTGGCTTTTTTTTGCCATAAAAAAAGGCTAAAAGATTGATCTCAATTGTAATACAATTTAAGTTTAAGTTAGTTCAATTGTTGGTCAATGGGTTTTGTTATTCAAGTGGATTTTCAAGTGATTTTTCTTTGTGTTTGTTTCCTATTTGGCTCAATACATCTATATCATATATCGGAAATGGTCTCTGGTGTCAACTGAAAAAAGCTTCAACAAGTAAATCCTTTTACTTGATTTAATAAATTAACTATATAATCATGAATACACTTGGAATTGACCAACTAAGCTTCCACCAATTTTCTGGACTATTGGACAGTTTTGTTTTTTGAAAGACCTTGCAAGTTGACTAGTGTAAACTTTTAGATAATTTACCCATTGGATTTTCATGCCCATCAAAATTTTTTCTTGAATCTAACAATTGTAAGTTTACACCATGTATTTTTCTGTAAAAATTGACGATAGATTTGAAATGATCATTTTCTTGGTTACAATCACTTTTCATATTGTAATTTATGAGATATAAACACAATGGGAACGGATGGCAACGTCCACACTCTATGATTTGAGGCTCAACTCAACAATTGCTAACAATTCAAGTATTTAAGCTTTACCAGTTCGATCAAGTGTTTTTTGATTTTATTGATATTTACTGGAATAATCATTATGCCAGCAACTATAACAGTTATATCATTTTACTACACATCAAGCATTTGTTTAACACTTGAAGAATCAAAAGTCTAGACGTGAAATTTAATAATTTAATGCTATTTGAAAAAACAAAATTTTTCATTGGAAATCAGAAGTACACTAATTTAATTTAATTTGGTCTCAACTTTCCCTTATAAGGATTTATTGTTGGATAATTGTCAATTGATCCAACAAGTTTGCAAATCAGTTTGCAAATGATGGGCAAAATCAAAATGATAAGGTTCGTATCGTTTTTCATTTATTTGAATAAATAGTAATTTTCAATTACAAGCTATGTTCATGAGAGATGATCTAATTTGAATTTTTTTTTTTCGTAGTTAAATTGTTTTCAGATGTTGATCATTATAAAACGTATAGTTTCTACATCATTAATTGGCAAAATAGACGATTTCTTGTGAATCTAATCGCAGCATTCCTTGTAGACGGTGACAAATTCAGCCAATGAATATTTCTGAGAATGATTGGACGATTGGTTAACGCTGTTGACAATTATTACAACTTTAAAGGGTCTACTAGTGATGGATGTTCAAGTCATTTCCTTTACAAATCAGAAAAGCCATTTAACCCTGATTAGTTGTTAAGACAAAGTTTCATTTGTATTTATGTTGGAAGTAAACAAGGTTTCGTCTTCTCATTCCAGTTTCATCAATCTGAAAAGGTGACAAAATGATAACCATAAAATACAAATTACGGTGGCACTTGGAATGCCTTTACACACTTACAAACGTTTATCATTCCTATCTTCATCATTATCAACAGTTATCCTGTTCATGGAAAGCAAGTTACTTTTTCAACCAATCAACCAATTCACGTCAATTTGTAAATTTAAATGGTTTCATAAAATTGGTCGTAAAAATGCTCTTCATTGACAAGCAAAGGCTAAAGTAGAGCAATTGATGGAGGCAACAGTTTTTTTGGTACAAGAAACAGAAATAATCTTCGAAAGCAAAAGCAAAAAGACGTCTTGAACTGATGTAAATGGTGATTGTATTGGTGATGTTGCACTAAAAAGGATAGGGTTAAGCAAGATATTACGTTGTAATTCATTTTGTCCTTCAATTAACTTCTTCTCATCATCAACTTTCAAAGATTTAAGACCAACATTTTGACAGAATCAAACTGCAAAAATGAAGATTCCTTGATGAACATGAGAGTGATGATGGTTACTGCTGTTGGTTATACTTGTCAACTCAGGTCTGGAATATATCAAGTTAATTGAACTTGCCTGATAATATTTTAACGGCCAATGCTGCAAAAATCGATACAAGATGATGATAGTGTGAGAGTCTGAATAGATCAAGAATCGAGATTGCGTGGCCCAAACTAAATATAACTATACGACAACATCCAGGGTGCATTGAAAGTATAATTTTCATATAAATCTTGATGCAGCAAGATGAAAACTATAGATGATCAATGATCTCTATTTGCTGTAAATTGAAGCGATTAACTTTGTTTTACATCTTTCTATGGTCCATGGTGAAAAGCTTACAATTCGGCCTGTTTACAATGTTCCATCAATGGACTAATCAGTTAAAAATTAACGACTATACCTAACCAATGGCTTGTTTAACTGACAATAATTGTGAAACAATTCATTTTGTGCAATAATTAGACGCACACATATACAGTACAAAAAAGCAATTGAGGAAATTTGCCGTATTTTTGTGATCGCGTTCAATGTTGTAAACCCAATGTGTGTGTCTGTGTGTGTGAGAGGGAAGATGAGAGAGAGAGAGAGTTGTAAACAGACTGATGAAGCTTGCATCTTGAAGAAACCAATTTTTATGCCTCAATATCCATTTGAGTAATAGCAATAATGGTGTGATGATGAGCGAGGGAGGATGAAGATAAGGTTTTCAAGTAAATGTGTCTGGTTGCAGATGAAGTATTACACTTTGTAAAATTTGGAAAAACTTTGCTTCTTCTATTGAAATTGATGCATTTTCACTGGCTTTTACTGATTGACTTTTCAATGTTAGTTTCTCAAAAAGCCTGCTACTCTTACAAGATGATTGACCTCAAAGACTGAGGTTAAAAGAAAAGTGTTGGTCCTCAAAATTACATATGATTTTACAAGACAAAATAGTGGCCAGTGTTTTTACGAGATTTAACTTCCATCTTTACTCAAATCATCCATTCAACCTAATCTTTCTCTTCAACTTCTAGGTCAATCAATCTTACATTATTGGACTCTATCTTAACGCATCTTTAACATATCTTGAAGACGCAAATTATGTCAAATGTCACTCATCTTATTATCCTTACAAGTTACCTTTAGTTGCCAAACGGAAGGAAGACTTCATCCCCGGTCCAATTGAAACTTGAAAAACGATTTCAATTTGTTAACATCGTATAATCAATCAAAAAATGTTGTACAATCACAAATTACTAGTGTATTGAAAAAGATTTGCAAGTTAATTTTTCGAGTGAAACAAGATAAATTGAGAAAATAAATTGTCTTAAGCATCGACTATCAGTTTCTCATGGGAAAATAAAACTAACTTGATTGATAGAAACGAGTGCGCGCTAAAAAAATTTCATAAGATTTTAACTATTTCAGAATCAGATATATCTCAAAAAATTTCTAGAGTTAAACAAAAGTTTAGTGTAAATTTGGATGACTAATGATTGAATATCGAACGAATTGAAAAATTTAGGCCGATGAGAATTTTTTTAATAACAAACAATTATTTTCTTACCACTTCTCATTGCTTTGGTTTAACTAATGAAACTAGGCTATATTATAAACTCGAAATTTCAACAGTAAAATTAAAATACAATACTGTAGTAGTACGGTATACACATTCACAACGTCACATTCACAATGATGATACCCAGGCTAAAGTATTTACAACTTATGAATCTGAGCATCAAAGCTATATTTGCAATCCTATATTCAGTGATTCAATTATTTTCTTTTGTTTATAAATAATAATGGTTAAAATTGATTCCTTTACAACTCTCTGTTGTATTTTCATCATTCTGATCTCATCGATACTATTCAATTGACTTACCGCTAGTCAATGTTATGAAACATTCTATACATTATGTTATTAACTAAATTCAATATTGATTTAAGCAGTTCTTTGTTGCAAAAAAGTTAATTGCGAATTCTCGGATCTATTAGTTGTAAAGCAAATTTAGCTTCTCAAAGTTTTTATTAGTGGAGCTATAACGATTCTGTTTTGTCACTGTCTGCCTATTTTTTAACCAAATTAAAATTTGTAGGATATTTCAAATAGTATAAATGCACCGAATTTCGCTGCAAATCAAATGGGATTGCAATTAATCAAAAGCGCATTTTTTTCTATTAAGGGATGGTCATTGGACATGGTGATTGATAATCTAAATCTTATTACCAATCCACTCTGATTATCACTATTTTGACAAATATTATGGATGTTTGAACCCTTAATATATAAAGATTTCGTAGAGCGAATTCCAAGAATTTTCAAAAAACTGTTACAATAGTTCTACTGTGATTACAATTAACAATTGATCGGCAATTTGCTAGGTAAACAATGTTGCAAAAGTTTATTACGATTGTGGCTTACTCATGGACAATGAACAATGTAAATAAGGTTGCAACTAGTTAATACATTTAAATCGAAGGATAAAAATCTACAAAACGTTTAATTTAAACATCCTAAAATTGTTGAAAATTTAATAGATTTTTGCGTTAAAAAAATAATTAATGTTTAGCATCATTTTAAAATTTCTAAAAGATTCATCTTTTCAACTGAGTTTTGTTTTAAATTAATTTTTAGCTATAATAAAGTTCACGATATTGTGATCATAAGTCAAATCTAGAAATCCAGCAAGCTTTTAAGAAAAGGAAGGATTACATGTTATGAAAATATGACAAAATGATAATAATTTCAATATAATATGATTTAGAACTGGTCATCGAGATTTCTTAAAGTTTTCAATAATTCCTTTTTGATTGTATGGATATGTTGATGAGATGATGTTGTTTAATAAATTTTATGTTTAATCAGATCACTTGTAAATCATTGTGAAGATCCTCGTAATTATCCAATCAAAAAATCTTCATCTGAAGATGTTTTCAAATTCCAGGAGAAGTAGCTCGATAACTTGATTCGAATGCATTTTCAACATCATATCGTAAGCCAAGTTATTAGAGTCCGTTTCAGGCCACATTAGAGTTGGTCCAAAAACGATTGCCAAATTTTGAATGTGCATTCGATTCTCATCCTTATGATCTTGAACTCTAAACGTGAATACAAAAGAAAAATAAAATTAATAAATTATTCAATTGATTATTTATAAAATGAACCTTCAAAAAAGTTATAAAGTTACGCTCAATGATAATTAAAGAGTTAGGATAGCAACAAGAATGATAATTTTCAGGCCAATGATTACCATTAGTAAGACGCTTTTGTGGGTTAGATTGTGCAAATTAATTTAAATCATTTGGCTATCATTTAACAACTGTTTAACGCAAATTAAGATTAAAAAAGGTTTCTGCACAATGAAAAAGGTTAATTCAATTTTTGTGCACTTTGGTGAACACTAAAAGCACCAGAGCATGGATAAAACATTACAAATTAAGTAATGATATTTCATATAATTGGTGACCATTTTACGTAACAAATTGTTTTTTTTCCTCATCTGAAGGTTAATCGTTGTATTATCATTGCAACCGTTAAGGCTGTTGAAACCCATTCATAACAAGTTTTGGACTGACATGATGGAAACAATTGCAATGAAATTTGCTTTTCCTGACAATGTTAAGCTTGGTAGAACGAGATAACTGTGATTCAGCAAAGAGTTAAATTAACAGGCAACTGATTGGAATACATTGATAAAATTTGATTTAAAGACGGAACTTGGATGGAATGGAAGAAAGAAAAGACATTCAGAATTCTATTCACGATGAAGAAACTGAACTAAGATCTGATTATAAGGAATACTTGAAGAATCACTTGGAAATGGCTCGAGAAAATAGCTGTTTAAGTACAAATTTTCGTGCCATTAAAATTCAAATGAAGTTTTTTTGACTTTCAGTTGAAATAATAAAGGCAATGTAACCATGTAATAGGTGAGACAAGACTGAAAATTATGTGGGAAACATTTTCAAACAAAAAAAACAGTCAAGACTGAATTGCTGAAATCTGAATCAAGTCATAATGGGAAACTAAACTAGAGGTAAATTAGACATGTAAGGTCAATGTGCCTTTCATCACCATTATCATCATAGTTAACGGCAGTAATTTGATGATGATGATGAGAGGATGAACAAGGATGAGGACAGGAATAATCAAATATTTCAGCACGGCAAGACATTTTCATTGAAATTGTCATTTTGAGACTTTTTTCTTCCTCACTAAGAAACCTTTTTGTCATCCTTTTCCTCATCTATTCCGTGTTTAAGGTCTATTTGTATTTAAAGCCCTGATTCAAAAGAATCTCTTGAAATTCTGGTTAGAAAAAAGATTCTCGGTGTTGATGGCTCTGATTGTGTTGCTTTCACCAAACATCTTCAGGTAAGCGTAACATTATAACTTTTGAAGGGTTCAGGATTGATATATAAATATATTTTGTAAGCCCAGCAAAATGAAGTTATTCTTGTACCTCAAAAGGTGCTTTAAAAGGTATTTCAGCGTCTCCTTATTACATTTGGGCAAATCTCGGATAACCCTGACAATAGCTTCTTGTTTCTTCTTTTTATCTGGTAAACCTGAAATGAGAGAAGAAGAAAGCAACATTAGTAAAAAGGGAAAAGAAAAATGAATGAATATATAATAATGATGAATATCACGATGAATGAAAGGACAATGATGGTAAAGAATAAAGAAAGGTAAGGTTGAAATGAATGGCTCAAAAAATTGGAAAGTGTTGATAAGGAAAAAAAAGATGAAAGTTTCTTTTTCATTCAATGGATCATTCAAAAAATTGATATTTCTCAATGGATCATGTATGGATTTACCTATTGTAAACATTAATGAATCAAACCGATTACATGGGAATAAAGGTTCTTTCATGTCTCGGAAAAATAATTTCAAAGCGCCTGTAAACATAAAAAAGAGAGAAAAAAAATTCAAGTTAAACAAAAAATAAGCATTTAAATAAAGGTATTCAGTGGGATTAGAAAAGGAATAGAAAAAGGTTTCTTGGCTTTGGTTTTTAAATTGATATCACAATAACCACGGGATTTTACAGCTACACTCAAGACCCGTTTTATTAAGAGACCGTGAAAATGCATTAATTTGCTCAGTGGTGAGTAAATTTGGGTGTGAAACTTGTCAAGTAATAAGTAGGATAAATTTGATGAAAAATATTTGCCCACTCCGTTCAATTTGACCATATTAATGGTCTAATCAAATAGCAAGTAAATACCGTTAGGTTACCAGATGAATATTGACAAAGTCATGATAAAAAAATGTTTACATGAACTAAGTTTAAACAAGTTTCAACTTTTCTCTGATTATTCAAGATTTGTCTTCTCATTGACTGCTCTTTCTCATCATTATAATCAACAGCTACATCTTCAAGTAAAGAGGTCACCATGACCTAAAACAACTACCAACACCACCAGAAATTAAAGTTGATCCTGTTTTACAGCTCAAAACAAATGGTTTTTTTGCATAAGGCAAAAAGAATCGCCAGGTTGATTGAAACGCAAAAATTAACAGCAAGTTTTAAGGTTGACATGAGAGTGAATCTACTTTCAACCTGAAACGTTAAGCCCTTCTCAGTATAAACATCATTAAATCCCTTTTAAATCTCCTTTTGATTTTACATTCAAATTTAGTCTCTTTTCATCTTCTTCTTCGTTCTTCTTAACTCCTTTTTCCCAAAATTTGATTGCTTGATAATCTTTTGATTGACCTTGATATACATATATAAATAAATATATTTATATATATCAGATAACTATTGAGTTTGGCAATCTAATTCACGGTCAACAACATTCTTGTGATATCCAATCTCCCTAAAAAACCAGAAAACGTTTTTCTTCTTCTCCTTCCAATCCTGTTGTGTTTGTTTGCATGTTGCTAGTTTTTCAGACCTGTTAGTACATGAACATCTTCCTGAGCCCAGATTCCTTCATAATCGTCTGCATGATGAGAGAAAGAAAAAAAGTGTCAATGAACATACAAGTAAATTAAAATCAATCATTAGATTAAGGTAAATAAAAACAGAAAGATAATAGTCAATGTAAGCAAATGTTTATCCAAAATAAGATTGGATAAACGCAGTAATCGATTAAATTGACCTGTTATCTTGAACTCTGTAATACTAACCGTGATTAACTTGATATCGTATTTTCTGGACCTCCGATAAATTACCGCAAACCCTATAAATACCATCAGATCTGAGTCCTTTTTGTTCAATTGCTTTGATACATTGTTGAACAACTTTAGGCACCAATTGTTTCTCCCTTGAACATAATGAGTAAAGGTCACAACCAAAGACTGGTTCATCTAAAAAAGAAAAAGTCGGATTAATGTTAACAATAGATTATATTTGATTGTTTGGATAAAAAAAAACGTTAATCGAGGACAGTTGATTGTTACTATCAAAGTAATAACAAACAACAATAACAGCAACTCTAAATAATCAAACATTATTGTCCAAACAAACAATATCAAGATACAAATCATTGAGATCAGATTTTGATGTTTGCGTCTCCAGTAATTTTCTGTACTCGCAATTATACTGACAGTAATTCAATGAATGAGATAATTTAGGCCTTCTGTTCAGTGTTCACTTGTTCCAACAATGCGTACCTTTAAAAATACCCTTTTCTCGTAAACTATCCAAAGTTGGTCGACGCAAGAGAAAGTTGATCAGTCTTTCACGAATTTTCTTGTTCTTCTCTGGAGTAATCTTATCATCACCAACAGGACCATTTTTGGTGTTTACTTTTTGATTAATTTCAATCTTTTTACAGGATTCTGAAAAGGCATACAAACAAAAACATACAATGAGTTAGATGAAAGCATGAAATGGTATTGTATTCAATACAATACAATATCTGAATAAATCAATTTAATCAGCTTTGTAGCAATTGCCTTTCTCGGAAGCAAACATGAAAGTGAACGTACGTTTAGTTGATTTAGATCGTTTTAATTTACATTCCTTATTAGATTCCAAGGAATCGGTACCAATAGTGGCTGTACCATCACATTTAGGCTGTGGAACATGAAAAGGGAAGAAAAACAAAGAATAAAATTTGATTAGTGAAATGAATGCAATGTTGATGAAATGAAAACAATGATATCAATTTGAATTGAAATTAAAAAAGTCAACAATAATAAAATGTAAACAGGATTGAAATGTTGAAATGAATTGTTAAATGAATAAACTGTTGAATAATGGTTTGTAAAATGGTTACAGATTTAAACCAACAACTCAAAAAAACGGTTTCTTTTTCCTCATTTGGTTGCTTTGTCAGCGTAACAAACACTTTGCAATGAATCATTGAGTTGTTGGTTCAAATTTGGGTTTGCATGGTGGTTTGAACACAAACATCTGAATATTAAATGTTCTTACCAATTTCGATATGGCACTTTTGATAGAGTAGAACCATTCAGCGGCAGTTAATGAACAATCTTCTTGTAATAATATCTGGTTTCCCGTGAAAGTTGTTAGTTGGAAGACATTTTTACGACTGGATAAACCTTGACTCCATTCAATCAAAGATCCTCCCAATTCAACAGCAATCTCAGGTTTGAGGTTTTCCTGGTTCATAATGAATCAAGGTGAAGATGAGCAAGAAAAATAAAAAAGAGGAGAATAAAAAATTGTCATTAAAAAAGTGTAGAAAAAAGAATTGAGTTTCAAAAATTTTCATTGTAAATGTTCATGTTACAGTTGAAGGATATTTTGAGCAACGAGCTTTGAACAGAAAAATTTGTAAACTGGAAAAATAAGGAAAAGCAGATTAAACAAAATTAACCGAATAGATTGATTGATTCAATTTAATTCACAACTTTTGATTGGATTCGAGGTTCACAGAATCAAAATTTTTGAATCTCTTTGAGATCCAAGCTTTTCATCAACCAGAAACAAGATTAAAGATTAATTTGATTTCTCAATCAATTCTTGATCAATCAAGACAAGCCATTCAATATACTCAACATTGATTGTTGCTCAAAATAAAAATTGATTGTCCAAGATGAATAAATTGTTTCAATTTTACCATCAAAAAAGGCTCAAAAGTAACCTAAAACTTGCTTTAAGCAAAGATGACTTTGGGTTGTCAACTTAAACTATTGTAGGCACACTTTTTTTGGGTTTATTTAGATTCATTTGGGTTACTGATAAAGTGTCCATTCAACATCAACTAATAATTGGTTTTACCTCTTGATGAGAATTTATTTTTGCGTCTTTGAATATCAGAAGATAATGATCAGTTAAGGCAACCAAACTGGTAGACCAATTTTTACGAAGTCGTTTGCCATTTTCCATTATTTTGGTCCGATTCATGATTCCTGTTTTAAAAGCCTGTAACAATGAATAATGAAATAAACTGAATTAGTTGAAAGCATTAATAATCATCATGATTATGATGTTTTACTGAGTTTATATTTATGGAAAGAGGGAGAAGTGAGAGAGAGAGGGAGAAAGCAAATTACAAATAAAGGATGATGAGCAAACAAGGAAGCAAAGTAACATTCAATCAACGAGTAATATAGCAATAAGAAGCAACATGATTGTTGTTGATGGTGATGATGATAATGATGAGAAAGAGAGGAAGAGAGAGAGAGATAGAGAAAGTTGTCGAAAAGTAGCTTGATGAATGAGCTTGAAATGATCAAATATCTGTTAATTGAGTTTCAAAAGATAACCCAAATTTTGGTTGTATTATACTTTAGACGTGGGAATTCACAATTTCCTTCTTGATTGTTTACCTGACACAAAGAGAAACATTTGTTACAATTCATTGAGAAAAATTAATCAAAATGAACATTTACAATTGGAGACATTTTTTTTACCACTTGTTAACATCATTGTCGTACACTTTTTTTTGTTTTAATTGCACTCACCTTTCAATCTAGAACAATTAATGTCTGGCGATGGGAAAAGTTGAGATTGGGAAAAATTAATCTTCGTAAGAATCTTGTCTGAGTTTTTTCACCACCAAACTAATCAAAGTAAAACTAATTGGAAATTCTTGTTGAAATTGATACAGAAATTAAGTCAAAAAATAATAGACATTACCAGGTTGATTTGGTTGCCTGGCGAACATGGCTTTCAATTATAATTTCAATAGATTGGGTTAGTTATAAATATTTACACTAACATTGTTTATCATTTTGATTCATCATGAAATACTTCATTCAATGGAACAAAATCATTTATAAATTTTGAGCAAAGCCTTTTTAAGTAAAAGTAACAAGGATTATTAAATGGTTCAGTTTACCTCTTTACATGGGAGTATTATCAATCTAGACTACCAACTTAACAACTGTTGTTATCTGATATTTTAACAAGTTATCATGAACCATGATATTATCCATTTCCAACTTATCGGTGTCAATCTTTCTCATATGTATTGGAGCAGAAAAAATGATTAACGCATTCAAATATTACTTGTGACATCATTTTTGGGCAAGTTTGGGTTACAGTTTGACAATAATTTTAACCATTTTGCAAATTTTCAGCTCTTTTGATACATTCAGGCACAATTGAGTCTTATTTTAACACACAACAATTATGGTCATCAACAAGCTATAATTAATGTTTGTTGGTTAATTAGCTACTTGGTTTGTAGTGTTGAGTGTATAACTGTAATCTTATTTTTGCATTTCGAGCATTTTTCGATAATTATGCATAGAAGGTAACATTTTTTAACAAATTCAAAAAATTTGTAGACAGTTATATCGATGAATTTCATCAGTTCAGGGTTAAGGAAAAATGGAATAAAGGTTTGTTCTCAACTTGTTTGGGTGTTAGGAATAAGATTGTTAATTTGCGATTGTAATGTTTGAACTGATTACGAAAAGCAGTTTAATTGTTAAATCAATGAACAGTTGGTCATGAAAATTTCAATATTTGAGAAATATTTTCTTTCGAAAGAGTTGAAATGATTTTTTGACTACTTTTACTGCTATCAAATTTCAATGAAATCCTGTTCTGTCGACTTATTCAAGATTAGTTTATATCCTGACAAAATATAGTTTGAAATGAAATTCCAATTGCTTGCAATTCAAATATTCTTGAAACAAATAGATTCAAACTGCAGACCGTTAACATTGAGTGTTTAGTAAAGGTAACTTGTTAGTCAGTAAGTATGAAAATTGTGAAAAATGGACAAATTATTGCATACTCTGCATAAAATATTGAGGCCCAGTAACTAGACAAGGTTTGAAACTGATGATGTTTAAAATATCGTTAATAAACTCAATGATTCCGTAATTCAAAGGGAAAATAATTGAGGAACCTATTCATTAGATATTAGTTGAATGCTTACTCAACTATTAAGTTTGAAATATTGCAAACATTTCTCTGGTAAAAATTATTCATTAAACTCTTGCCAGAAATGAGGTCAATAATAAGTATTTGAATTTTCTGTACACACCTCTTTTGCTTTAAAATTTCATCTTGACCTTAACTTGTAACTTTCATGTTACCATCTAGTTTCGGGCTGTTTTTTGCTGTAAAACAACAACCAGGTTGTACTCATGAGTGTCTTTTGATTGGAAATGTTGCTGCTTTTGTTTATCATCATCATCATCTCTCTTCCTCAAGCTAAATTATTGTTAAAAAAGTTGAATTGATTAAACAAATAAAAATAAGCTCACTCTTGACTCTTCCAAATTTTCCGGAACTGGAGGAATTGGTGTGTGATGAGAATTGAGATTGTGATTAAAACTACTATTGTGATAATGATTATGAAGGTGATGGTGGTGGTAATTGTGATTACGATTTTGATGGTGATGGTGATGATGGTGATTGTTGTTGTTGTTGTTGTTATTATTGATGTTGTTGTTATTGCTTGATTTATTTGAATAGGTTTCGTTGATGGTTGTTGTTGACGACCTTTCCTCCAAATCTGAGTCAATGTTTACAAATTTATCTCCAGTGGGTAGAAAAACCATGGATTTAGCTTTGAAGGAGCGTTCGATGGGCGATAAATCATTAACATAGTTTTTTCTTATGGGTAGTCTCAGACTTCCATCATTTTTAAACCTTGAAACGGTCGAGGGGGATGAAAAAGAAGCTGAATTGCCATTATCATTATCAGGTAAATCTTTGGTGATTGGGGAATAACATTCAGATGCATCACTTTGAGATTGACACTCTCTATCAGACTAATCATGCAGAGTGATGTTGAAATGATCAGATGGAAGATGCAGAAAAGTAAACCAGAATGGAATCAGTTGGAATGGTAAAAATGGTGATGATGAGGCCAACAGTGAATGGGGTTAACGGGTTGCAAAAATAAGATATTAATGGTAATGATGGTGGCCAGGGTGATGAAAATAATGATGAATAAGAAAGAGAAAATAAGAAAAAAAAAGAGAAAATAGTTAGAAAAAAGAAAAAGAAAATTGAAATGAAGAAAAGGATAACAAGCAGTTTGCCAACATCAACATTGAACAACAAACATGAAGTTGCACAAAATCTACAGTAGCTGAGTGGCATATAAGCAATTTTCAACCAATTGGCTTTTATATTTAGAACGGGTATTAATCAAATATTGATGTAAAAGTGTACCTCTTCATCGGTGATAAGATCAGGTAAATGCCAATGAGAGCGATCCTCGTTTTCATCCAAAAAATAGAGTCCTCCAGAATCATCATATTTACAGAACCACTGATGAGAGACAAACATGAGATGAAAAAGGCTGGAATATGAAGTAAACAAAAAAAAAGTGTATTGAACTGGCAATTTTACTTACAATAGATAGTCCACGTCTTGGTGGTTTCCAGGATGATTGCTTGGTCACTGAATTATAATAATATTTACGGCCAGAAAAGTGAATATATTCTGACCAGTGGTTTAGTAATACTCTATTTGGATTTGTACCCGTTTCGGGTATTGGAGACATTTGCCATTTTGATCTACCTGTAATCCGAGAAACTGATTCTGGTCGATGAAATGAGTTAAAATCAATTGACATGATGCACGTCAACTGAGGGATTAATTAACAACGGGAACAAAGTTGATTTACCACAGTCACAAAAAAAAGTTTAAAACTTGAAATAAAAATTATACATTCAATTACAAAAGAATAGTGTAAGATTTGTTTTTATGTTGTTTACATCTCTTGGATTCATGGATCTGCCAGAAAGGAAAGGAATCTTGTAAGACAGTTGTTGTAACGAAGGAGTGCAAAAGAGGGCGCTCGCGCATAAATAAGTTACTCAAACCTGGTTGTTGATTATTAGCTCCATCTCTTAGACTTGAATCCAAAGAGTAAAACAACAAGAGAGACCACTGCTATGTAGCCATCGATAAGGAGGGAAAGACAGCAGGGCGCGATGGCGCCACTAGTAAATTACAGTCAATCAACGGGAAAATACATGTTTTGGACTGTATTACAGTTGACTCTATGGGTTTTCAATTATAAAGGCTGTAATACAGTCAACTATATGCATTTACCCTTTGATTTACTGTAATACAGTAATTTATATGTATTTTCTGTCTGATGGACTGTATTCATCAAACTTATGCACTGTAAACTCAAATTGAAATGCAATTATTGAACAATTATGATTTTTTCAACATTATGCAATTAATTTTG